AATTTCAAGAGGGAGCAACACCAACATGCAAACACTATTGTTGCTGTCATAAATGTGCAAATCCACCACCTCCCGGTACATGTTAAGAATATAATTGAAAAGTTGAGTTTTTTAATGTAAATAATATAATGAATTTTTGAATTGATATGTAATTTTTTTTTTTAAAATATATATATATATTTAATAACTTTTGTTTTTTTTTCTTTTTTTATTGGTTATAAAATTATATACTGTAGTATTAATAGCCAATCTAAAAACGTTGGCATTTATTACAGTATTATCGTATCTGTGTTAAATTATAATAAACTTAAAAAAATTAATGTAGTTGAAGAAATTCAACTTTATTATCTATTTGTTGCTTAATGATATCTAGTTAAAAAATTAATAAAAATAAAAAAGTTATATTAATCACATAATGCCCAGCATTCAAACTTATCATCAAAGCCACTTAACATTCGTTACAATAATTCTCTTATTCCTTTGAAACCAATCTCTTGCACTAATATTCATTTGAAATTCACTTTTAAACTTGCTTTTATAAGCATTGTCATAAAATCGGGTTAAAACCCTATGTATAATTCCAAAACATGAACAACAACATAACGCTTGTCCAAAAGTACTACGAGAGAATTGTGCTAAAGCATTGTCAGATTGAACACTAATCAGTTGATTACGTTGTGGATATGCGATACGAATTTCATGTTGATACCCTTGTTCACGGATTATTGAAATTATGGATTGAGTTAAATAAGAATAATCCCAAAATACAATCTATAAAAAAAACAAGCAAAATAATTACAAATAAGCACCTAAAAAAATTACAAATTATTGGTTTAATTATTGAACCCTTTTCTTAGCAAAACACCTAAAATTTCTTATAGTTGTTTTATATTGGTCAAATTCTTTTTCAATCGATGCAATGAATTCATCATAATCAGGATCGTTATCATGTAATTTGAAGTATATAGACTTTCCTATACTTTTATAGTTTTTTAACATCTATAATATAGAAATTACCGGTAAATAAAATTTAAGTTTTTTATTATCGTTATTAAATAAGATCAAAAAAAAAAAAACTTACCAATGAACCATATTGACCGCCCCAAGCACCAATCGGACCTCTTTTTTCAAAATGTTTAAAATCTATTAGAGAAGGATGACTTTTCATCATTTGAGGAATTGGATCGACGGTATTTTCAGAATTTATCCCTTCTGACCGAAGTACTATGATTTAAATATCATTTATTATTATTATTTTTTTTTACCGTCAAATAACTAAATATTCATAAAATTATAACTTATATTTACTTTGATTTAGTCCGGCTTGTGCTATAGGTCCCGCATTTTCGTACCCTCGATATTCCATTATCTATT